GTACCAACTGTGTCCTGTTAGGGTCTGGGTTGCACAGCAGAAAGTGGGTGAGCAGACAAAGCCTCCCCTGGATTGACAACTGCTCCCCGTCATTCATATCACTGCCTGCACGTCACCTCCTGTGAGGTCAGCTGTAGCACTGGATGCTCACAGGAGCCTATGCCCTGCCCAAACTGCACATGTGAGGGACCTAGGTTGTCAGCTCCTTTGAATCAACTAACCAGCCCTGCTATCTGTGGAAAACCTGTCTTCCATGAAACCAGTCCCTGGTGAAAAAAGGTTGGAGACAGTGGTGCTACAGATGCCTATCTTCATTTCCTCATCTATAAAATACAGGAAATAATGCCTTCTACACAGACAAGAGAAACTGATGATCTATATAGTGTTTAGTATGTTATCAGGTGTAGTATACTAAAAATATTCCCTATAACTTCCACACATTATATAGAGAAAGCCTTTATAATATTAAGAGCTTATCAAAGTCTGCAAACAGATATCCTCGAGTGTCAAATGTACTATCTCCAAATGGTATCAACATAGTACAAGGCCTAAATAATTGAGTGCCCAATGGACAATCTGGTTGTGACAATCTCTCCACCTGAAGTGAATTCTGTTAGACTAGATGTATCACCATCTTCATGTCACAGTAAGCACCTGTAGAACACAGAATAGTTCACAGATCTGTTTGAAAACTAGCACCTGTGCTATAAATAATGAATGGCTTATCAACACTCCTCTTAGCCCTATAAGTTCACTAAAGCAGCAGTAACAATGTGATGGCCCATGGACAACTGATACCATGTAGCCCAAAGACTTACTTATTCTGGTGTAGCTCAAAGGCTTACTTATTTATTATTTACTCAGTTTGTTTTATTAGTAGTCAACATTTTAACAGCAGGAGACAAAATATAAATAGGTACAATTCTGGCTTCTCTTAAAAAATTGGGAAAGCTAAAACTTGTCTATAAATTTTCATACAGCTACAGTCTATAAGACAGATAGCAACTGCTTTCTTTAGATGAAATATGAGCTCTCTAACACTGAGCTCTAGTGCTCTCTGTTGTCTTCTACCACTCACACCCTGTATACACTGTACTTCAGTTGTAAAATTTACATTATTTCATCTCTGCCATGTGCTGGATTTTCCAGTCTTGGTCAAGATTTAACAGGCTGTATGAAAATCTCAGGGAGAGACAGCAAAAGAAAGGAAAAAACAACACAAAGGGCCATGACTAACTCATCCTTAAGCATCTTCCAAAGCATGCTGGACAGCAGGGAATTGCAAAGGGAGATTCTGAGTCAGGTATGGTGGTGTACAACTGTAATTCTGGTACACTGGGATGCTATGACAGTAAGTTCAATCCCAGCCTGGGCAATTCTGTCACTTGGTAAGAACCTATCTCCACCAAAAAAAGGAGTGGGGAGGAAGAGAAAAGAGGAAGAGAAGGAAAAAGAGGAAGAGGAGAAAGAGGAGTGTGTGTGTGTGTGTGTGTGTGTGTGTGTGTGTGTATGTGAGATTCTGCATATAAACATATAAAGTCTAAAGCCTAGTGCCTAGTACATGGTAAGCACTCAAGAAATGTTAGCTGACAATATAAAGTTACTGTTTCACTGTATTTCATTGAATACCTCAAGGATAATTTCAGAGTGTAAACAGACGATTAAACAAAAAATCTCTGAAAACTAATCATAAGAAACACTAAGATTTTTGAGATGTATGATGAAACTATAATAATTAAATATTACAGTTTTGGTGTTAGAATAGGCAGCTCAATGATAAAGAAAAGTCTTGGGACAGATTACAAGTATGATAGTTAAGTACTTCATATACAGTGATACTGACATTTCTTAGCAGAAGAATTTTAGATTAATCACTAACTCATCCTGGAACAGTGGATTAAATTCCAGTCAAAAACTTCTTTAAAATCCTCCAAAAGTCCGTAATAAAATACAGATGGGTATTTTGGCACACTCCTGTAATCCCAGGATTTGAGAGGCTCAGGGAGGAGTCTTACTACAATTTTGAGGCCAGCCTGACTACTGACTACACAGTGAGATCCTGTTTCAAAAGGAAGAGAGGAAAGAAAGAGCAGAAAAAATTTTTTTTACCTTGAAGTGGGAAATCTTGGCAAGCAAGAAATCATTTAAAAAATATGAAACCTCTGACAGAAGGGGAAAAAACCACTGCTTATTAATTTCAAAAGTTAACTGTGGATATTACTGTACACTGAGCCACCACTCAGTGGGGGCTTGCTGTGATCCAAGCAACCTGCTCAGAGCATTGCAGACATTGTTTTCTTTAGCTTAAAATAAAAAGCACCAGAAACACTCATTATCTCCACTTCATGGGCAAGGTTTAGATAGTATTATCAGATACTACTATGTGCAAATAAAATACATTACAAACTTTTCCTCAAAGCCAGCAAATATTTTAATGATAGTACCCATTATGTTACTGTGGTGAGATTATGGATACAATTTGTTTTTGGCTTTCTACACTCTTAGATCATACTATATAGGTTTGGAAAAAAATGATGCATATTTGCATTATTATCTTTGCTACAGATTTTTTATGTTAGAGTATATCCTACTCTGGAATAGGCGTTTATTTAAAAACAAAAAATATTGGAAGAGGGTGTCTACCAAGAGCCAAGTATTGTATAAAGGGCTGATTTACCTGCATTGAACTTCATCCTTATCTAATACTTATGAAGACAGCTATATTTTTCTCCACATATTGAAGAACGAAACTGAGGTTCACAGGTTTCAATGAGCTTGGCAAAGAGTTACACTACTGAGACTGAAATACATTGCAAACATCTGGGCTCTCTCCACAGTACAGGTGAGATGTGGGCTCAGTCGTATGTGTATGGAAGAGAGGAACTTCCTCTTCAGAAAGCAGTGACTCACAATGGAGGTAAAGAGGTTTCTGGGAAGATAAGATCTCTTCCATTAAGAAGACAAAAGCCTAAAGGTGAAGATAAAGAAACAACAAGCAATTCCGATTTCTTGTTTTCAGAGGATGAACTGGTGTCACGATTGTGGGCAGAAGGGCTGGATGATAAGGGAAGGCTTTCTCTATGTAGAACCACTAGTCAGGCGGAAGCTACCAGCCGTTGGAGGAAATCATTTCAAGCATATTTAGGAAGCTGTACAAGTAAAAATGTGTCTATGGAAGGTAGCAAGAACTGAGACGGAGAGCTGGGTTTAGCTTGTCTCTCTGAGGATAACCTATATACAACTATAAAATGTAATGATGCTTTTAGTGTATCTGTCAACTTTCTCCATCAGGATGAATTAACACTAGCCCAAATTTTGTAATATATTTTTTTAAGTTGTTGTGGATAGTGACATAGGGCATGTCCTATAATTGGTACAATAAAACAAAACTATAAAAGTTGGTAATTTTTTCCTTTAGAGACATGTGGCTTCTCCAAATTTCCTCAGACCTAGAGCCTAAATACTGCCTTCTTCTCTCCTTAGTCCCCAGGAGTGGGCAGAACATTCAGATACTGGCCCCAGGAGGTCTGGGCCATTTCCTTTTTTTACATGAAAGGAAGAGAACTGAAAATAGATGGGCACATAAATAATTTCATGCTGAAGATGTCTGCAGCATGTCTACAGTTTCATTTGTATCCCCACTCCTCTTTGTTCCTTACCATATAAAAGACCCTTGCACACTTGGACAAGGTGAGATGGTGGTTTGAGGCAAAAGTTCCATGTTCTTGGAATTAATTTTGAATAAGCTTTTTCCTTTTCACCAAAAAATAAACAGCTTCCTTTGGTTTGGTCAGTGGTGAGTAAACAACACAAGCATTTGGACTTACCTGACCAGTAACAGTACTGGGGATGATCTCTACCACTGTGCTACACCCCAAAATCATTTTTTTTTTTTTTGGACAGGTCTCACTAAGTTGCTGAGGTTAGTCTCAATTTATAATCTTCCTAATTCAGCCTCACAAGTAGCTAGAATTACAGGTATGTGCTACCATATCTGGCCCATGCTACTAATTATTTTAAGATGAGATTCTCTTGTTTATCCACAGAAAATATGACTGGCAAGAATGTATTTTTCTAATGAAACATCATACCCACTTTCTTGTACTAGGAACACAGCCCAGTAAAGCCAAGTTTAGGCATGCTCAATACCATGGTTAAAGAATTGTCATTCTTTGACTATCTTGGAGTGAACAGAAAGTACAGTACTTAAAGATAAGTGATTAATTAGAGGTAAATGGTGACAAAGTCAATTTGTCTTTGGCCTATTAGATGAGGGCATCAATACATTGCAATGATTTTCAGGGAATGGAAAAGTAGAAAAAAAAAGTTTAAAAAGATGAGTACTCCACAAGTCCTACAATCTTAGATAAACAAAAATAAGGATCCAACCCACTCCTTTAAAAATTATGTGTCCATTTCTCCAATCAACCTTAGAAATAGCACTTCTTTGGGAGTAGAAAGGAAGGGGATGTAAAAAGAATTAAGATGTGTTATGTGCATATACCAACTCCCCATGATGAATATAACCATTCCATACTACAAATATCTACTAACACAAATCTTAAAATAGTATTTCCTTTGATAATCTTTCTTAAACCAGTATCATAGTGCTTAGCCCAGAGGATTTTAAATGATAGCAAATAATTGCAGAAAGGAACAAATGTCACAACAGCTTTATATTAAACTAAAGCTTTTAAAAAAACATTTATAATGAATAATACCTAGAGTAGAAAGATTTTTAGGAAAAAAAATAAAAGAATGGGAATGAAGAGACAAATGTCTGAGAAAGAGGACTCTTAATGGTGGCTTATCCATGTACAAACATTAGATTGATAAGCATTGGTAAAATGTGTATTAGCTTAAGAAATAAGAATACAATCCAAATAGACATATTTGTTCAAGGTACAATGTACAATGCCACAAGAAAAACAGCATCTTTCAATTAAATCCAGAAATAAGAAAACTATTTTTGAAAATGAAAGATTTTTAAAATATTTTACCTGATTTAAATAATTTAGGCACTTTTCAAGACACCAAAGGCAACAAATACATGATTTCAGCACACATCGTGCACAAGCATTTTCCTGGATGGGGGAGTAAAAGTGAAATAATTAAAGACCAAAAGGCAATCCATCATATGTAAGAACTCAAATGTTTAAAAAATAAATGAAAGTGTAAGAAGCCATGACTTATGCAGTAAAACTTCCATGCCTACTCTTTCTTTTCTTAAAACATAATGGCTGAATTATTTCTAAGCAGCTTGATTTGTCATTTATATAGTATCTATTGCACATATGATTCAGTGAGGTATGTAAAACTAACAAGAAAACTATAGCTTAATAAAAGGAAAAAAGTGCTAAACATAAAAAAGGTTAGAATCAGAATACAGCACAAATACTAAATATTAAGAGTAGAGAACGGAGATAATGGTGCTTTGCAGATGGAATGGATCAGGAAATATTTCTAGAAAGTTTGAATTTTTAGGTGCACTATGGCATTTCAGCTAAACTATACTGAAATGCAAATTATTTCCATAGTCAAGGAGAGGAAAAAAAAATCATTGTTTTTTCTGTATATTAACCACTTGTCAGATGCATAGTTTGGAAACATTTTTCCCCATTCTAGAGGTTATCTCTTCAACATCTTGATTAAAGATGTACAGAAGCTTTTTAGTTTGATGTAATCTTATTTATCAATTTCTGCCCTTGTTGCCTATGTTTTTGTGGCCTTATCTAAAAAATACTTTCCTAGGTCAATGTCCTGGGGCACACCTTTTGTTTTCTTCTAGAAGAGTTGTTTAGTGGGTACAAAATTACTATTAGACAAAAGGACTTCCTTCCAGTGTTCTGTTACACAGAAGGGAGACTATGGTCGATGATACTGTAATGAGTATTTCCAAATAGCTACAAGGGAGGAATTTAAAAATTCTAGCTACAGAATGATAAATATATGACTGTAGTCATACAAAATATTCTGACTTTAGTATTACACAATTATTACATGTCAGTAAAAGAAATTAAAAAGGGAAAGAATATGGTAGAGGTTTCAAGGAGATGTGTATGTGTGATGGTTGGGTCTAGAATGTCCCCTGAAAGGCTGATTATGTTGAAGGCTGGGCTGCCCAACTGATAGATGAAACCACTGATGAGTTAGTACACAGCTGAATAGGCTAGTAGGAGGTGGGGTTTCTGAAGGAGGTGGATCAAGGGGTGTGACTTTGAGAACTGTATTTTCTAATTCTCATGTGTCTGCTTCCTGGCTGCCGCCAACTGCCCCACACCTCTGCCATGTTTCTACTTCACCACAGGCCTAAAAGCAGTGGTATAAAACCTTTACAACTGAGCCAAAATAAAATTTTCTGTCTTTAAGCTTTTTCTCAGTTATATTTTTATCCCAGTGTCAGAAGTCTGACCAACCCCAGTATGTGAGTCAATGTGAAAGACATGACAAGTACTCTGGATGACCAGTGACCAGATGAATTCTGGCCGAGTACATGGAGTGCATGCTGGGAGATTAGAAGCAAAGACTGCATTCTACTTTGTTACAGCTCTGGAGAACACATCCATAACTTCACATTTAACATCACTGGGCACTTCACTATATGAAGAACAAAGTCCAGAAAAGGCATTTTACCCTTACCTTTCCTTTCAGCTGACTGTGAATGTACATAAGGATCATTCGTGGAATTTTTACTAATGTGATAATAAACGATCCTTTTGCCACAGTACCAAGGTGGTAGCGAATAAGGCGATTCACTGATGCCAAAATGGGTGTAAATGGCAAATTCCTTTTATCCCTATTTTTAAAATGATCAAAAGAACAATCAAAATAAAGCATAGACCTCAGTGGAAATAGAATTATGGTTTAGAATCTAAGGCAGTGAAGTCAGTTTATATTTATGACAAAATAACAAGTAATATATAACTAATATAAATACTACAGATGTACTATATAAAATTAGTGTTTCATTTCTCTACAGTAGCTTCATAGGGTGTTTATGCTGTATCACTTCAAATTAATTAGAACTGCTTTGAAAGCTCGTTATCAAGGAGTACCTAAGGAGTTAAACATATAATAGAAAAACAGAATTTAGAAGACATTTAATCTATACCCAGCACCTCTATAACAGACAATTACAGCCTGTCATTTTAATATTTAGCTCTAAAGTTAGGAAAGAGGACTCACAATACTTCTTTTGCTCCAAATGAATTAAAAAGACTTGTTCTTGATGGACTTTTTTACAAAGCAAAAATACATATCATACTACTACAAGACTCACTTTTCTGCTAAATATAATTTGAACTTATATCATGACCTGCTGTCTGAAAAATTGAGACAATTATAAAAAGTATAAATAATAACATCTTTCCATTTTCCTACCTCCAAGAATTATCAAATATAACATTTTATTATATTCATTTCCAACTACTACGTTAAAGAAAAGAAATTCTTACCAACCTCAGTCCTATTGATTTCCTTTCCACCCTGTAAATATGTTCTTGGAAAGTATAAATTCTTACCTAGTAAAGTAGTATGTTACTACTGCTCCAGCCACAGTCATTTGCTGACATGCTAGAATAAATTCACTGATCCAAATGAGGCCGACCACATGGTACCACCACATGTACTGCAGAGGGCCAGAAATTCTAAACTCCACAAAGCCTTGTTCATTGGGAACAGCACTGCCTAGGAAAAGGTCAAGGAAAAAAAGAAGCAGCACATAAAGTACAAAGAAAGAAATGTAGCTGTTAAATATGAGACTAATTCATTTTTCAACCACAGATCCCTGTTCTCAAATCACAAATTTCATGCTCTTAATGTTATTTCTTTAAGGGACAATAACTTTTTAAAAAGTTACATGTTATGGTTTGTGTCTAGTTGTCCCCCCAAAGCCTCATGCAGTCATGGGGCAGACTTCCAGGGTTCATGATTAACTCATGATCCACTGGGATTATGGGTGTGAGTGCTGCAGGGATTATGGGTGTGAGTGCTACACCCAGCCTGGGGCAGATGGCCTGAACGCAATATAAGGGAGATAGACTTGCTCTCTGCTGTTTGCCTCCACCTTGAACTGCTGCCCTCTGCCATGTGCCACTCTGCTTTGGAGCTGAGTATGAACTGAAACCTCCACTAACCATGAGCTAAATAAACCTTTCTTTCCTTCATTTTGGATGTCGGGTATTTTGTCTCAGCAATGAGAGAAGAGTAACTGAGACATTAAACATTACACAATTATGCATTTTGGATTCCCCAAAGGCACCATTTAAAGCTTTGAAAAGTTGCTCTATTTGGATATAATTCTGATTGCATTATTAGTTATTTAGGCAAGAGTGTTCAAATATTTCAATATTTTTTTCAGAGCTATTACTTATTCAGTGGTTATAAATCTTAATAAACTATAAGGACATAAATTAACATTGCATTCAATTGGTGAGTGTGTGCTGGATGAAGAAAAATATCACGTATACTTACTATCCTACTCACAATTAGTTCCATTTTGCCTTATTGGGTATGGCCACTAGCCATATTATTGATATTGGGTATGGCCACTAGCAAGCTGGAGAACCTATGAACTGTGTTAGCTGCAGGGTGCTTGCAGAAAAACCTTAGGATACAAGCTGATCCTGGGCTATATTGCATCCTGAAGCAACTCCGGTGAGAAACTATTTGTCAGCTTATTTTACAATGAATCTGAATGTCTGTCATTACAAAACTCAGTTCATATCCCATGACCACCTCAAAGCTGTAATGTAATTTCAGCCCTTATCTGGTCTAGATCCACATTACTAGGATAATCTAAAAATTATAAATAAAGAGTGTGTTACTGAATAGCCAGTACCACTGCTAGATCTGATGGCTTTTGGACCTTTGTCAAGAAACACATGAAGACTGAGTGACTGGCTGATTGATTGATTTTGGGCAACAGTGGGGATCAAACCCAGGGCCTCATGCATCCTAGGCAAGCGCTCCATACCAAGTTATATCTCCATGCCCCCTCTGATGTTTTAAAACATTTGAGTACAAAGTACACATATCTGCAAGATAAATAAGCAACATATCTGCTTACCGGTAGTGCCAAGAAAAAGAAGTGTCATGATCCAGTATGCCCAAAACAAGACAAGAGCAAAGAAGGTCCAAAAGGGTTGGAAGACTAACAGCGGCAGGTGAATGAAGACCTTACCAGCCACGTGGAACAAGGCAATTGTGAGGGCAACACGTTTGCGCATAACCAGCATTATGAGGAACAAGATAACCTAAATGGAGAGAATGGAGGCAGGGAAAGGCTCAAATCACTTATTTTAAGCAATAAACAGAACGCTCTGTTGCCTCTGTCATTTATAGTGTAGGTGTCAAAACGAACTTATCTTCAGCCTTGGTGCTTCTGATCTTTCTGTTTTATTCCACAGTTTTGGTCTAGTTTATTTAATAAGGAAATGGATATAAGAATAAACCTTTTCCTTTTGTGATAACATCCACAGATAACTGTTAAAAATGACAAAGGTTTTCTCAAATTTCCCTATAGCTCTAACCCCTGGTAACTGGATGGTAATTGTTTTGTACTTCAAAAAATATAAATAAATTTTTTAAAAAATCTCAAAATGGGAAGTATTCTCTGAATCCCCATAATACAGTATGTTTAATTTCTATCTCTTTTACAGTATTATTTTCAATTATATTATGGTTCTAAGTTTTCTTTAAGGCAAACATAAAAGAATTTCTCAATTTATTAAATCCTAGAATTTTCGATATTCCCTTCCTCACTTATCAATCAAAATGTGTTATGTGTCAGTGAGGATAAAACTCTTCATTAGAACAGATACATTCCTGTCACTCTGAAAAGGGTGAGAGGAAGGAATTCCACCACCCCAAAAGAAAGAAGCTACTTATTTGTGTCTCATATTTCTTAGTGGAATAAGAACTCCTTAAAAGTAGGTTCCATGGCAGAGTCACTCTTTGCCTCCTTCCTGACCCTGCACTCTATGCCCAGCATTGAGCAACTAATTATACTTAAATAACATAATTAACAAGTAATTTTTGGCACCAATATTTTATACTGGCTTCATTTTTTGTTTATTTTGGATGTTCAAAAACAGTTTGGCACTGCTTAGGGAAATGGAATGATTCTTTTTTTCTTCAGAAAGGTGTACTAAAGATGAATATAGATTATTCAACCAAATCTTAATTTCACTATAGAATACACAATGAACCTTATCTGTATTTTTTGTATAATATAAAATATTAAAAGGTAAGTGAAAAAAATGGGAAAATAATTAGTGAACAAGTAAATGAAATAAATTTTCAATATATTTCCCTATGAGGGGAATTATTTTTTAAAAATTAATTATTTTATAATATTAAAAACATGCTCTTTGCAAATGATAACACTAACATTCTAGGTGAAAAATCTCTCAAAAAGCATAAAGGATACAGCAAAATATTCTTTCAAAGGACATTTGTCAACTTAGGAAACCTCCAACAGACTCTTTAATGTTTTGTATATCGTGAGACAGAGATTTTATCTAATGGAAATCAATCAAGATTAGGAGTATAAAAGTCAGATGTAAGTTTCTGCCCCATTAATGATCTACAAATAAAAACACAGAGCTAACTATTCGTCCACCTGAGCTTGTACTCACTGTGAATACTGTAGCTGAAATGGCATAGATGAGGAGGGCCCGCAGATTGTCTTCAGCTATCTGAAGCTGTTCAGGAAGAACTTTTTCTTTTGGTGATCTTCTTTGTTTTGCATATAGCCACCATAGTACACCTGTGCCACCTGGAGACAAAAATACAATTCTTTTGTAATAACTGACATAAGACAACATGGGACACAAAATCCTCAACTTTCTGGGCCTACATCAACATGGAACTTACGCAGTGACAATCCATTGAGCAGGGAGGCAACTTTCTGTGTGGCTGTAACTTTTGTGAGCACAAGGAGAGTGCCAATTACATGATTATCATCTTTTACATTAAGCATTTACAAACCCTTCAGTATATCAAATAAACTTCCTCTAAATGAATTTATCATGGACTTCAGGAAGCTAAGAGAAATCCAGTAAGAAATACCTCTGAGAGGAACTGGTTACTCCAGTGCTAGCACTGACAGAGTCATACAATTGATTAAACATCTGCTTAATAAAAAAAAATGAAGATCAAAAGAAGTTTCTCTTGGGGTTGGGGAGATGGCTCAGTAGAATAAGTGCTTCCCTGGCAAGCGCAAAGGCCTGAGTTCAATCCCCAGTTTCACCAAAAAAAAAAAAAAAAGTTTCTCTAACAGTATGGACAAAGACAGGAAGTCTTGTAGCAGCAGATTCAAGGGACAAGCATTTTATTTTTTAATACAGGTGATTCAGAGAAGCAGACCTAGGTAAACCTGTATCTATATAAGATAACTGAATTATATTCACTAATTCAACAAACATTTTGAATTCCTACACCACCCAAGACCCACTCTCACTCCTGGTAGAGGTTATAAAGCAACTGGGTAATCAAACAAAAGGAGATAAATAAGAACTAAAAATGTAAAGAAACAAAGTCTGGTGAGAGGGCTAGTGCTTATGGTGGGAAAGCACTGCAGCTTCACCTATTGGCAAGCCAAGCCTCACTGGGAAGATGATGTTTCAGCAAGCGAATCAGAAGCCTGAGAGAAAGCAATCCATGAAACTAAGAAAAGATGAGTTCCAAGAAACTTCTAGGATACTGAGGGTGGACCACGCCTAGTATGAGAAAAAAGAAACTGCTTAGCCATAGCAGTAAGCGAAGGCGAAAGTTGTAACAAATCTGAGTAGAGAGACAGCTGGGGACCACACTACATGACAGGTCCCTGTGGGCCACAGTGAAGAATGATTCAGAGTAGAATAGCATATGCAAGTAGTAAGATGAAATATTATGGGTTGGACTAAGAGGACTTGCCTAGGATGCACACTGGGAAAGAAAAAACAAATGTCCCCAAGAACTTGGCTAATATCTATACACATCAACCTAATCTCGACCTGTATTTAAAGAACGAATGGTTCAAAGGAAAATTTTACATCTTATTTGCTATAAAATACCAACCATGAATTTTTCTCTTGCTGACGATGAGTAAAGAAACCAAAACAACCAGCAGTCTAAGAAAAAGACTTCTATTTTGAAATCGTGCATGTATAAGAAAATGGTTTCAGAAACTAGGAATATACTTTTTAAAATGGAAGGAAGTATGTTTTCAACAAACCAAAACAAAAAGTTACAGAAAAAGCTGAAGTTCAAGGCAAACAGAACAAGATAAATGTTCAGAACAGACATAATCTATGAAACATTTAAATTTGTGCTAAGAAATGTGCTAATCCTTTATAGTTTTGAATTTATTTAACCACAATACTGTGATTACTAATTCTACAAATGATAAAACTGAAATTTAGGAAAATTGAGCAACATGCCAAATGTCACATATGTAGTAAGCAACACAGTCTTGAGTGAACCTAGATTTATTACAATGACCTATCTAAACATAGATAGAAGGCTGTAAGCTGAAATAAAAAGAAAACAAAAATGAAACTGGAATAGCAAAATTTATTGATCCTCATTGTAGGCAGTCAACTACAGAAGTGACAGTGAGAAAAACTAAGTCAGTAATATGCAAATAAACTTGAAGAACTCATCCTGAAATGTCCAAAAAAGTGACAAAGACACTGAAATGGTAATTTAGAAGACAACAGTTGGAGAATAAACAATGACCTTAAGAAAAACCACTGGTATAAAAATAAAAACTAAATATAGAAATAAAAAATCCACAGTTGAATTTTCTGAAAAGTCTAAACAATTTAAGCTCAAGAATTAGACAAAAATCTTTCCATTAAAAGGCTTTATTAAAAATCATAGAAGTGGATGGGGCCGGGGAAATAGCTCAGTGGAATAAGTGCTTCCCTGGCAAGCACAAGGGCCTGAGTTCAATCCCCGGTTCTGGAAAAAAAAAAAAAAAAAAAAAAAAAAAAAAAAAATCATAATCATAGAAGTGGAGTGCACAGGTGAGACTTCACAATTGATTCGCAGTACCAAACATAGGAAAACAAACTGGAGGTAGATAAAACAAGTTAGGAATATATTAAATATATAACAAAGCCAGAAAACACAAAATAAGAAAGCATAACTTTCAGGAAAACATAAAACAGGTAATAGGAAAACTAAACATACCAATTAAGTTATAAATGTAAATAAATGGAGACAGAGTTTATTCAAGTTTAAATTTAACTGAAGAATGTATAGTCACATACATACACACAGTAAAAAGGTCTGAACTTCAAATGCTAACAGTAGTAAAATGAGGAAGAATATAATTATAAACTCTTAAAACAATCAAGACATGATATCATGTTTGCATCTTGTACTATAACTACTGTAAAGACAACAAAATGCAATGTATTAATTTTGTAACTGTCCTACTAACCTGTTTGGAAACTGTCTCATTGCTATTTGTTTCTCAATAAAATTAATAAAAAAAGGAAGTTACAGCATATGGAAATAAAGATACAAAAAGTAAAATAAAATTATTTTCTTCTTTACCTTTCTATGCTTACCATGGAATTAGTAACACAAAAATAAACAAGCTGCTTACCAAGTGAACCTAGGATGACCAGAATTGTTAGGATCCACACAAGTATTCTTGATATATACCTGATTATCACCATCAAAATCATAGACAGAACTGTAGGAAAGACAGAGAACATGTAGAATATTATTGAAAACATAGGAGATTATAAAGAGAAACCCTTTCAATTATTGTACATTTTTGGGAAATATGTAATTTGTTGCTCTTGAATAGTTCATGACCACAATTTAGGTAGGAAAAGAAACTGGATGTTCTTACATTTTGATTTTGCTACTTGAACCACTAACATAGCATCACTCAAAAAGAAAGGCACCTAATTGTGCAAGTTTATAAATTACAGAAAGGAACACATGCAAATGCAAATGGTGACTTAAAACAGCACAGGACTGTTGTGGATTCACCACAGGAAAGACATCAGACATGCAAACACACATGCAAGCACACAAATTGTAGAGAATGACATGTCATGTTGGTGACCAGAAGTTATCACACATAGACTGGGGTAAGTTAAATTAATGCTACACTACCTCAGGTAATATATGCATTTCTTAAATGGACTAACTTCTCTAATTGTCAATCTACAAACCAGATGACATTTTATCTTTATCTGGCATTTTTATTTTTCACTTTAGAATACTATGGAAGGATCTGACCTTATAGTACCCTGAAACTTACTGAGGTCAAAATTCCTATCATTATTTCTCAACTGATAGAAAAGCTCTTCTTCAAAAATGAGCAAAGCTTATCTTGAATTAATTAGCTAACTTCTTTACCTGTCCTAATCCCAGCATGCTAAAATCATTAACAAAACTCTCAAAAAAGGATTTAATCCTTGCATGAGAAATTTATTTCCAAAATAATAATTTATAAATCTTTAATCATCTAAAGGCCTATTAAACAAGCAAATGAGCAAGTATATTCATGTTCATATTATCTTCTCCAGCCCCAAAACATGATTATTTTTTAAAAAAAATGGAATTGTAGTGGTCACACATCATTGTCACTATTTTTAAGATTTAGATATTATTTCTGGTTAAAGTGTTCAAATGTTTCAGAAACCAAGTAATTTTTACATAAAGTAAGTCACATTTCTTTGGATCATTTGCAAAAGTAAATAAATGGTTAGGACCTGTACGGGAACATAAAAAAGATGGGAGCCCCTCAAATATTAAACAATTAGATTTTCATATGTAAAGAATTATTTAATAGAGTCCAGTACTCCCTGAGCAAAAAGAAAATACTTTCTAATGATAGGAAAGGTGGAAATATGGCTTGTGATTTTTCAGGAACTATAACTACTGTTAAGGGGCATAAAAACTAATTTTACTTATAGAATGAAATAAGTGTTTGGTTCCCAACTCTTTACTTCTCCCAGTTAAGACCTGCAAGTTCTAATAGCCTCTCATTTAGTTCCAAAATGATAGAGGAATTTTTAATCTTGAAAATAAAATTTTTACTTGATCATATTATTTATTTACTGACTAGGAAATTCTGTGGCCAAACAAGTGGAGATTTCCTAATTTTTCCAGGAACAGTGATACTATGAACTGTGCCAATGAAAAAAAAATTCATATTTCAAAAGTAATGTATCACATATGCACATTCTTAGAAATATGTAAGAGAATATGTGGCCTCTTTCATAAGTAAATACACCTTTTGGAATCATAATGAGAAACAGAGATGCTGATTCATTAAAAGATGCCTTTTGCCATCATATTAAAGGTAGTCATAGACTTAGTAAAGCAAAGTATGGATGGAAAAAGACCAGTTTTCTCCCATGAAAGAATGGGAAATTATATATATAATATATATATATATATATATATATATTCTGAAACAATTATTTTGGCTATGGGAAGTTAAACATTTTACAAGTATCCCCAGTTGTACTCAGATTTTGGCTAAAAGACAGAACAGTCTTTTACTGCAGTACTATGCAATAGCTAATAATGAGAAAAACAATTACCTAGTGATAACAAGCAAAGTCCCAATATAATTTCTTTGCTGGTCATTACTCCACTAATCAGCCTGTGTAAGACACTATTGTCACTGACAAAGGTGATCAGGGCCTCTGCAAACTTGGCATAGCAGGAAATGTTCACAGGAGCACAGCGATGGAAGAATGGAATAGGTGCACTGGTGACACAAGAAAAAAAAATCAGAAAAAAAATTACTCCTACTTAATATAAAAGCCACATCAAACACAGAAATGAAAGGTGAATATGGCTGCAATACACTCCACCCTCCACATATCATTATGGGAGCTAAGAGCTGCGTGCTTAATGCTATGAAGATGACTGTTATGAGCAGTGATGCAAGTCTTACCACAAGCCTTATCAAAGAGGGTGGAGTGCATGTTCCAACAGAAGACATTACCCTCCCCTTCTGCAAAGAAACGCACACATACACATACATACACAGAACCACCAGAAGCAAAATAAAACACTTCAACTCCTCAGCCTGCACATCTGTCAAGGGCAGATGACAAAGCTTACAAACACATACTTCATTGAACTGAAAATGAATTAATACCATAAACAATTTAAAATAAAAAACACAAAGTGATTTTACTTGAAATGTGCCACCATTAATAGATTGTTTCCTCTTAACAAAACAGTGTACTTGAGATCAATAAAGGTACTCAGGGTACAAGTTTAGTACTGTTCATATAAACAAAGTCATGTCAAGACATCAACATACAGTATGATATGCATCCATTTAGAAAACAACTATGAATACTAATATATGGAAATCCTTATAATGTAGTAATATGATGCTGGCATCTCTGCATAAAAAATAGATATAAGAATGGCAATAGAAAAATAAATTTAGGGGTCTGGGGTGATGGCTTGGTGGAATATGCACTACCCTGGCAAGCGCAAGGGCCTGAGTTCAATCCCCGGTCCCACCAAAAAAAGAAAGAAAGAAAGAAAGAAAGAAAGAAAGAAAGAAAGAAAGAAAGAAAGAAAGAAAGAAATTTATAGAGTGAAAAAATATCTGGTTTATTAGAATCACAAGATTCTAGGCTATTTTCTTTGACTTTCATTCATAACAAATGACTCCAAGATTTTTAAGTGTTCAAAAAAAGGGAAAAATAACCAATTATTTAAATTTAGTTCTATTTTGTCTTGTGAAGGAACACAGGTACGTGTGAGCTCTGACATAAATCTGGCTTATAAAAACATGGTTCTATGCCAACTTCTGAGAGGACAATACACATTAAAGAATTTGAAATAAAGGACCATGAATATACCTTCTGTTGTGATTTATTAGGCTTCTAGGAGAGTCCCTACGTATTTCCATGCACAAACACATACTTATATGTGAATTAAGTTAAAATCTAGCCATCATTAATATGAACCCTACATTTCTAGAACTGTTCCCTGGACTCTCAAGTGGCAAGGATAATTTGATTGGAATAATATAAATGTATTTCAAGTCCTGGTTGGCACTGTATTTTGATCCAATTAGTGGATAAGACTGCATACTTGAGTAACAAATTCCTACGTTTCTAATATCAGCACAACTTTGTATAACCTATAAAGCAAAACACTATTTCCTTTCTCAAAAAATATTTCTTTACCACTAAAAGTGTGAGTAAACTATATATCAATTTTCCTTAAATGTTAATGAACATCAATGTTTATGAGAATAAGCAACAATTTCCATGCTGTTATAATTATTGAAAGGAAATAATTTTAAGGTTGTAACCTTACCTGAGTTATGCTTCAGTGAATATATCCAAAAATGATTTAACAGTAAGACATAAATAATTCATTTAAAAAAATAATCCATTTTGTCCCTTGGTTTGTATTTGTATGTACCTCCAAAACAGCATTGGTGAAACCTGATGCTAAATAGTTTACAATGTTTTAAAAATTTCAAGCAGCCTGAGCATTCTGAGTAAGGTTTGAATTACAAGTATGCAAGTGATTATTTTTGACAAAAATTGTGTAAAAAAATTAAATTATAGAACACTTTTAAGAAACATGGATTTAGTGAAGAATATTATAAGAACCAAAAGGAGTAACTATAAACTTCTAAGTGAAGGAAGGCTGATTTAGAGTAAAAATGACAGAACAGGCAATTTTGTTCTTCCACACAACTTTTTTTCTGATGTTGTCTAGATGCTATATCTGCCAAGATAAAGCTTCTGTCTAAAGATGAACTCTAAACTACCATCTAGCTATCTTCCAAAATAAAATCTCCTCTGCTCCATAACAACCTGTGTCTTTATCCTCTGTATACACTACCCTGCCATCCTGAAGTAGCCTCTCCTGGAACTCACTTGCCCCTCATCTTGAACACAGAATGTCTCCACCTTAGGGATGTAGCTGTCCTTTTCTTCTTTACCTCACCCACTCATTTTCTAGTTTTGCTCACTTGCTTCCTTCTTCCTATTCGATAAACATTAAAACCTGAACTCTTCCAACATGGCACAGCTGCACGCCACTGTCATGCTTTCTCAGTTTCTTCCTCTGTGATGAAAGGATAGGAGTAAGTACTGTTTTGTAAGTCTCTGTTAGATTAACACCCCCTCCACACCACCATCATCACCATCATCAAAGAGCACTCCCAGAAATCAGCAACTCTAAATTATATAGGAGCAGCATAACCAGTATTTTCAGTATTCTCTACTTTTCTAACATTAAATGAATGTATCTGAGTTGAAAAAGAAAGTGTGATAGTCTCAAAATTCTAACCCTTCATTTTTATTTAGGAGGAAATGCTGAATAATATCTGCTCTGAGCTTTCCCTTTCAAGTTATTTTTAAACTGCATATAAACATTTGCCCAATTATAAAGAATACTTTTATAATTATCTTTCAAAAATTTGGGCAAAACAAAAATCTTTTATGCTACAGTTTAACCTATTTCCCTAAAAAGCCCGACACTCCCAAATATAAATATAAAATTAGCACAAGCTGATTAACTGCTTTGTGTCATTCATAGTGAAAAATCTGCTCTCAATCCTAACCAAATATATAGAAGGCAAATAAGAAAGCAGATAATATATGAATACATTAAAGTATAAAATGAAACACTTAGCTTTACAGTAAAAATCACTAGATTCCCTTGTCTGTCATTCTTTTTTTCCTTCTCCTCAAACAAAAGCAATTAAATCAGCCACATATTTTGATAAATAAATTTAAAAAAATAATAATTTAAGTATTTATGTGTGTGTGTGTGTGTGTGTGTGTGTGAGTGTGTGTGGCCAGCTCAGCCCACCAGGGGGCAGGGCTAGCTGGCATGTGGTGCTGGGGAATTGAACCGCGGTCCCTGTGCTTTGCTAAGTTTGTTCTAAGTAGGTGCTTTAGACCACTGAGCCATCTCACCAGCCACTTAAATTATTTTATTTTTGTTCTCCTTTCTTTTCTTTCTCTTTACCTTTTTTTCACCCCATTACTTTTTTTTTTTTTTTTTAATTTTTTTTTTTTTTTTTTTTTTTTTTTTTTTTTTTGCGGAACCGGGGATTGAACTCAGACCTATTCTACTGAGCCATCTCCCCGGCCCCTCACCCCATTACTTTTAATTGCACTCAGGACCTTGTGTATATACTGTACCACTGAGTAGATTCCTAGCCCTTTGAATTATTTTATTTGTAAAATATAAATAATATGACACCAAAATCATTTGTCATATATTTTACCATTTCAATTCTATTTGATATAATGAGCTTAAGATGAATTAGCTGATTTCATATATCTAATGATCGTCTGGCATGAGATCATTTCTATTTAGTGTCTAAACTAAATAAAATATGTGCTTAATTATGACGGACAAGCATTCTATTTATAGTAAGTTTTTCTACCTTTGAAAGCCTATATAGAACACTGAATCAATAAAGTCCCATTAGGAATTGGTGATGTTTCGCATTATTAAAACATTAGTCAACAAGAACAAAATGAATTTATAATGAGTATTTTAAAGATTTTTAAAAATTAACCACTGATAGGCAAACTGTATCTTACCTTGGCAAATACACTGTCCATTTGCCTTTAAGTCAAGATTATCACAGTTAATGAGCTCCCTAAAGTATAACAAACAGTGCCTAAGATCTCTTGTTCATATCCTTCAAAAAAAAAAAGGCAGGAGCCTGCATCTAATAATATTAGTTTAGAATGTCAGGTTAAAAATAAACAACTACATATGATTTCTAAAGGTAAAAGTTTTATTTATGAAAGGACACCAATTAAGGTTCTAACTATAGCCCTATAGCATATAAAAAGGGAAAAAATAAAGAAATGAGAATTTAGTAGCAAAATACAGTGGTTTTCATGTATTTTTATCTCACCCCATTTTTCTTTTTGTTTACTCCTGTACTCAAAAACAAAATAAAATGGAAAAATATCTCACTAACTGTGGTACACATTCTATAAGATCCTGAATTCAAATTTTTATTCACAACGATTTCATGGCCTTTAGATAACCTCCCCTTTTCCCTTTTCTTACCTATAAATTAAGGGTAATACCTGTAGAGATTTTTCTGAGGTCAGGGGAGATAGTACACATAAGAAACTTAGTGATGTTGCCTGGCACACGTAGATGATTTGAGACCCTTCTATTTACATTACAATAGGTAACATTTTTTCTTGGCTATTCATTTAGTTTTATATCACAGTGTTAACTTCCCAGCTACTAGCGACTTGGTTATGATTCTGAGGTACCCAAATAAATGATGAATGAACTGAATTTATGCAATCTATCTCCACTGGTACTGTTTTCTCTGGATATACATGACAGTCTTGTAAACATATGGCTAGCTAGTTCCTTGATTGCTACTATGCTTGGCATTTTACCAACACTTATGAATTTGGATAAAATATTGCACTTTCCAGGCATTTGCTTTTAAAATTCTTAGAAATGGTAAC